GCAGCTAATTTGAATTGGCCACTACACCAGCTTGATGTAAAGAATGCTTTCCTGCATGGAGAACTCACAAAGGAGGTATGTATTGACATTCCTCCTTAATATAATACTACTAAGATTGGAACAGTATGCAAATTAAGAAAGGAATTGTATGGATTGAAACAATCACCGCGTGCATGGTTTGGCCGGTTCACCATGGCGATGAAGAACAATGGTTTCAAACAGAGTAACTCAGATCATACTATGTTCTTGAAACATCAAAAAGGGAAGGTAACTACTTTAATAATCTATGTTGATGATATGATTATTACTGGGAATGATAAACATGAAATATCTTAGCTACAAGACTATTTGGCTACTAAATTTAAGATGAAAAATCTAGGTGGACTCAAGTATTTCTTGGGAGAGGTGGGCCGATCAAAGCAAGGCATATTTCTCTCTCAAAGGAAATATGTCTTGGGCTTGTTGATAGACACAAGAATGCTAGATTGCAAACCTGTAGACACTCCTATTGTTCATAATCATCATCTTGGAGAATAGCCGGATCAAGTTCCAACTAACAAAAAAAGATACCAAAGGTTAGTGGGAAGATTGATATACTTGTCACATACTCGACCATATATTGCTTATGCGGTGTGCGTTGTCAGTCAATATTTGCATTCTCTAAGTGAAGACCATATGAATGTAGTTCTTCAGATACTTAGATATTTGAAATATGCACCCGGAAAAGGACTTATGTTCTCAAAATATGGTTATCTGAATATTGATGGGTATTTAGATGGAGATTAGGCAGGCAGTGTAATAAATAGAAGATCCACATCTAGTTACTTCATATTCGTGGGAGGTAATTTGGTGACATGGAGGAGCAAGAAACATAAGGTAGTAGCTCTATCTAGTGCAGAAGCCGAGTTCAGAGGTATGACTAAAGGAATTTGTGAGCTCCTTTGGTTAAGAAAGTTGCTTACTGAACTTGGGTATGAACCTACATCCCCAATGAATCTTTTTTGTGACAACAAGGCTGCAATCGCTATTGCACAAAATCCGGTTCAACATAATCGCATCAAACATGTTGAGGTGGATCAACACTTCATCAAATAGAAGCTTGAGGCTAAAGTGATTCAGTTTCCCTTTGTGCAGTCCGAGGATCAATTGGTGGATATTTTGACAAAGGCAATTTCCAGTAGAGCGTTCCACAATTCATTGGACCAGTTGGACATTGGCAACATCTATGCACCAACGTGAGAGGGAGTGTTGGGGTGACTCGTGGACCATTGACTTTCCTTGCATACCAAGGATTCCCATATTAATTGTAACTTATTTACTTTAATTCCTGATTTCCTACTGTAAATATAAATAAGAATTTATTATTTTACTTGGCCACTAAGGATCCATTGTATTATAAATATGACCGCCTATAAGGAGAGGAATACACAAAAAATTCTCACAAACAAATATTTTCTCATAGTTTCTCATATTTTAGCAAAAACTTCCAATCGAAAATCATAATAATATACGCCTTCATGACTTGTAAATATTTCTAGGCCGAATGACATGATATTCGTATCAAATCAAATCACCTCCTAAAAATCCCCATGACAAAAATGTCAACATCAACAACCCCTATACATGAAATATAGAGCAAATTGCAAGTTAGTGACTCATTCACATAATCAACTATGGGTGATTCTATACATATAAAAATTGAAATAAAAGAGAAGTCAGAGCCAAGTAAATAGATTATGCAACAAAATCAGGGTATCAAGGAATATACCATGGAATTGGATTTGAAAAAGATCAATAAGGAATTGTATAAATAATGTAGCTTATTTATTTTAAGAAAAGAAAAATGTTCAGGCATGAATCTTGTTAAATTGATCTTATCTTATTATTGATAGTATTAAAAGGGGAAATGTTTGCAAATATGAGCTTAACCAAGTTTACTAGAGCGGTTATGCTCCCCACTCTGCACCTAAGTTCGAATCCCCCTTCCTTAATTTAGATCGCTTATGTTAAAAACAAAAAAAATAAAGAGGAGAAATGTTTAATAGGGTTTTGGGACCTTATAAGTAAATTGAAATGTTTTTAGAATTAACCCGTTAATAATTTTACTGATAATTTACCACATAATATTGGAAGATATTTCAAATTCAATACTCCAAAGTAAAAAACAGAAGTTTTTGAAAAAAATGAGATGAGATGGGATTCACAAACATGAGTAGACATCACTTCAATTTATTGAGAAAATTTCTTGGAAATGTGAGATGAAATTCACAAACATGAGTAAGTCTCACCTTGATTTAGGATCATCCGTAAACCTCAAAATCTTAAATTATCAGGCTGAGATGACAGCAATACAAAAACCTCCAATCTTAGCCATACCAAAAAAGCAAAAATAAATAAATAAATAAAATGGTCCATAACGTGGCAAGAGCTCTACTGGTTCTATAATTGAAAAAATAGAATAGAGTCAAAGAAAGTCCATAATGTGAGGAGAAAAGACTGAGAAAAACAATATTTATTGGAGTACGTGCTAGGTTGGAATTGCCTTTATGGGCTTCCGCAAAATCTGCGGTGTGTTTATCTCTGTCTACCTCCTCCTGCAGCGACATGTGCCATTTTTTCCCTCTTCTATTTCTGATAACCACACTTTGAAAATTCATATTAAAATCAAGAGAGAATATTCTTCATTTCCTCCTTGAAGATAAGAACTACCCTAATCCTACAAAATCCCAACTGGGTTTTCTTCTTCAAGCACAAAAACACAGAGAGAGAAAGAGAGAGACAGAGACAGAGACAGAGACAGAGGAGAAAAGTATGTTGGAAGGCAAAGCTTTAGTGGAGGACACAGACATGCCAGTGAAGATGCAGATGCAGGCCATGGCTGCTGCTTCTCAAGCTCTGGATCTTTATGATGTCTTTGATTGCAGATCCATAGCTGCCCACATAAAAAAGGTACAAACTTTGTCTGCCACTTTGTCTAAATTAACATATTTGAAGAATTTCCTCTGTTTTCTTTCTGTGGCTAATTGATGGATTGATTTTTTTTATTTTTTTTCAGGAGTTTGACATGAGAAATGGGGGCGGTTGGCAATGTGTGGTGGGCTCAAATTTTGGGTGTTTCTTCACTCATTCTAAAGGAAGCTTCATCTACTTTACACTTGAGAGTCTCAGCTTTCTCATCTTCAAAGGGGCTTCTTCTCCTTCCTCCTCACCCGAAGGCTAACGCAGTGTTTGGCAGAAAAGAAAAAAAGTTGGAGATTCAGAAAGGCTGTATATTTTGCGTTTTTGTTTCTTTGTTTTTTTTTTTTTTTTTGGGTTTTTCTTGTTTTCCTGAACTGGTTGGTGCTAGGTAGGGACTTTTATTTTGTGATCAAGTGCTTTGTAATGTTTTTCTATGCAATGCAATGTGATAGCTTTTAGCTTCTTTTTTCTTTTTCTTTTTTCTTGGAATCTTTTGTTACTGTTTGTTTTCTGGAATTAATTTCCTATGTGACATTTTCTGGCTCAAAGGAAAGAAGACCCAAAATAACAGGAAAATTATTTGGTGAAAATGGATTAATTTCAATTTAGCACTCTCAATTTTAACAATTAAGTACGAATTTTTCAATGTAGTTTTGGTTTTGGTTTTATCCTAGATATTGTCTGAAAATAAATGTGAGACCTACGTGGCATATGAATGGAATGTCCTAGATTGACTGAAGAGTGAGTCAGCAAAAGTTGGCATCACCAAAGATGTCTCAATCGACCTCCTCCTTAATCCTATCCCTTTATCCACCGCTAACCTTTTGAGATTCACATATTTTTTTTCCTATTTATCTTCTCAATCACCAAGCAAATAGTATATGACGTCCATAAACCTGTTTCTAAGGCCACACAAAAAGAAAAAAAGAAAAAAAAAAGAGAGAGTAGTATTATCTTCCACTAAAAATATAAAATCTGCCTGGGAATTAAGCAATGCTTATGACAACCTTTGTTATCTACCACACATTGCTTGTAGTTCTATAATGGTGAATGTTGAGCATGGTATACTAATTTTAGTTTGAAAGGGGAGGAAAGGATGCCCACCGACTGATTGTTTTGGCTAATTTTATTAATTTTTATAAGTTTTTTATTTTATTTTTAAAATCAGCGATATTAGATGAGGTGAGAATCGAACCTAGTACCTCAAGTGCAGGAGTAAATACTCTTAACAACTTGAGGTATAAGCCCCTTGCATAAAATTCATGCATAAAGTTTACATTGCGTGATTTGATTTTTTTTTTAAGTATAAGTGACAGTCTAAATTGTAAAGGGAGGAGGGTTTCTCACACATACACACACTCTACCACGGTGCCATAGTGCAGGAGTAAATACTCTTAACAACTTGAGGTATAAGCCCCTTGCATAAAATTCATGCATAAAGTTTACATTGCGTGATTTGATATTTTTTTTAAGTATAAGTGACAGTCTAAATTGTAAAGGGAGGAGGGTTTCTCACACATACACACACTCTACCACGGTGCCATAGGGTTTCGAATTTGAGATAACTAGTATGCAAATCAAGGTATTTTTTCACTGGACTAGACCCGATGCCTGCGTAATTTGATACTTAGACCAGCAAAAGGGTTTTTCAGTTCCATTTGTTTAACAAAAAATTTCACAACCTACTTTTACTATTATTATTATTTTTCATATACAAGCGATATTGGGAAGGGTATTCAAACCCAAAAACTTGGTGAAAGAGTAGCTTCTCTTAACAACTTGAGCTACAAACCCTCACTTAGGTTTGGCATGAACGAATAGGCTGATTTTTATTAGTAGTATCTTGTAGGTAGTGATGTGGTGGTTCAAATACTTGTCAATTTCTTTATCCTTGTCAAATGCATCCATATCTAGAATTGTGTCAATACAAGTTTATGCATCTGAATAGCAAGTCTATCCAACAATTTTGAAAATAATAAACAAATGCAAAGCAGAAAATTGAAGTTTGACTTTAGTGCTACTGTTGGAACACTATATTCTCCTCACACTTAAAATCATATAATCATTGCAACATGATTTGAAGTGTCTGAAGAATTTTGATGGTCTGGGAGTTAAGGAAGTCAAGAGAAGAGTTCACAAGACTAAGATTTGTGAGTGCACATTCTCTCAAACCACAGAGATTCCTTGCGCTCAATCTTTTTCACCATGTTTGCTATGCCAACCCCACCTGTTCACAAACAAAAGCTATGTGAAACAGAAAATTCATATCTTGATCTGGACACATATGTAAAAATGACACATACCTAATGTCAATGCACTCACAAATATTGTGAAAGCAAGAATGAAGATGATCAAGGATGCTCTTCCTAATGCTTTGATCACCTTTCCTACTAAATGTTGCCCGACGATCGCGGAAACGGTAGCAACAGCAGCAAAGTAGAGAGCTGCAGAAGAATCACAATGAAATAAAAGCCAACATTTATGACTTGGTTGAAGATAGAAATCATCTTCTAGACTTATTGACATAGAAACTTGAATGGTTAAGAAATTTACCATATGGAATTGGAAACCGTTTTAGGAGGTAGTATTCTACCACAGACATGGAGGAAGAGAATGTCATGATAAATGTGGCTGTGGCACTTGAAACCTGCAAATGTAAGGAGGATTTAAAGGTGTCCGGTAATTTCCTAGGAAGTTTCTGAAGGATAGCTTTTCCCCTTTGAGGGGTGCAAAAAAGGAAATGAAAACAATGTGAATTGTACTGTAATTAATAAAAAAATTGTAACTTTCAAAGGAAACAAACTCAACTGCAGAACTTATAAAATGTTGAAGCATGAAATGTACCTGAGGAGGAATTCCCATCTCCAAAAAGAGTGGAGCCATAATAAACCCTCCACCAAGACCAAGCAACCCACCAATTATTCCAGCTACTATGCCAAAGGCACAATAAGAAACAAGCTTGTGCACTCTCCAGTTTGCACCTCCTTCTCCCTTGGATTCAATTATTCTGCTCCCTTTGTATAGCTTAACTGCCTCATATGAAGTTATCCCAACGGTCACCGGAATCTGAACAAAAAGAAGGAAGAAAAAGTTCCAATATGGTTAGGTTCTTATTTCACAATCATCATTTCCAGCCACAAGGAAGATAGCTTTCCTGATACAAGCAGCATGGAAGGTACCTGTAAGAGATTTAATATCCAATATACCACTGAACATTTCGTCGCGTAATTCTGTGCCAGCAAAAATGAGTTTCTTATTAATCTGACTTCTTAGGGAAATTCCAAATAAATAAGCTATCAAGGAAAATCAACATCATATGTACTTGATTGAAACCTTAGCAATCTGCAGTGCAAGTATTATGATCCAGACAATAACTATGACCCCAAGTTGCCTCCAGCGAACATTGTGAAGAATAGAAACCTGGGAAGGTCACAGAAGAAGTCAGTCCCTAAAACCATGCATAAAGTTTAGTTTGAAAATTCTAACCTTCTTTCTTTTAGTTTCCTTGGTTTCAGTTGTGTCGTTGCCTACCCCTCCCGGGATAGTTATGTCTTCACTGCCATCACCTAGTTAAGGAGCATGTTAGCCTGGAAAAACCTATAGATGACAGACGTGTACCAGAAAGTGAAGAAATGAGTGACCAACTCACCTTTTGATTGCAAACTTTTGGAAGCATCCAGCAAATTCTGAAGAAATGAAACAAGGTGCAGTATTAGATGGACAACATGATGCAGAACATACAATCAGCCTAGAAAACAAGCAAATTTTAAAACTACCTTTTTCGTGATGGTTTCTTTCTTCCACGTCTCAATGCCTCTGAAGAACGACTTAGTTGATGTGCCTGCAGATATACATAATTAAGTTGTCCAAGTGTGAACAAGGAAGGATGCAGTTTAGAAAAGTGTTACCTAAGAGAACAATAATGAGTAAGATTGTGATCATCCATTCAGAAAGAACAACATTCAAAGAAACTCCTATACTGATCCCCAGCACCAACATTGGTTGGAACAGAAGTGCAAGATCATAGTCAATGAGGGGCAACTCGAGTGTCGGATGCCGGAGCCTTAAATTGTAGAAGACAGTTGCAGCTGCTCCACCTGTGATCATACCTGACCAACCACACAGAAACATGCAAAATCAATTTTCCTGCTCATTAATTATAATTCTTTGGAATTTTATAAAACTAATGTATTTGAGTTCAGAAGAGGTGGCTTCCTCAGAAGGTGAAAAGGGAAAAAGCTGTGATGAAAGTACTTACATTTTGATAATGCTGTTGATGATTTCTGATCAAAGCCAATAATCAAGGTGAGCATTGGAACAAAAAAGCCACCCCCACCAACACCTCCTACACTCCCAAATGCTGCCCCCAGGAATCCAATTATCGTTCCAACGACAATTTTCCAGCCAAAACTCATTTCCTGTGACCCAAATTTCAATGAATAATGCACCACAAAATTTCTTAGTAAGGGCTATCTAGAGTGCCAGACCTACTCAAATCTATTATTAAGAAGAGAAAAACAAATGAGTCCATGCTTTTTAGCCTATTGGTAACAGAGAAGTAAGTTGTTTCTTTGATGATAAAACAGAGGAAGGTAGGAGGGAACAATCGGGAATGGAAATTGAGAAGTAAAAAATATATAGGCCAAACTTTTTACATGCTTAATCATTCTTAAGCAACATTTTCTCACCAGCCAAACAGTTCAGCTTCACACAATCAGTCTAGAATCACAAAATATATATATATCTGACAAAGTTCATGGAAATTGGACTTACAGGCCAGACATGCTTATAAACCACTCCACCCCGATGCGAAAGAAATCTGGACACTCGGATTAAGTAATTAGATTCAACCTCTTCCCCTAGAGTCTGACTTGAAGCTTGCTGCTCCAAAATTTCTTGTGCTGAAACAAATACTAAAGCTAAAACAAGGTAAACCATTCCAAGCAACCTCAGACTCCACCAATTTGACCCGCTCCGAGTAGCCATCGGATACCTCAGAACTTCCACCTCAAACCCAACAATCGAAACAGAACATTTATTCTAACAAATACTCATGGTTGAAACCAAAACCATGTTCTTGTACAAAGTTCTGCAGAATTTAAAAGTACTGTTAGAGGAATACTAATCTCTAGACATAAGCAGTCAATTTTGGAATCTATTCTTGTGTTCAGAATTTTTCCTTGTAACTGTACACAAAAGTGGTACTTTCTCTCTTTGTCAAAAGTTTGAGACAGTGGTAGCCCAGCCGTGTACAAGTCTCTCTCAAACTTTTGGAGATATTTCAAGTTCAGATTGCATGCAAGAATTTCATACATGAAAACAAGCTTGAACTGAGTTGAGTCAGCTGGGATTAATTTGCTGAAGTCTCTGAGCTCTGCTAATTCACACACACACACCCTCCACTTTCAACTTACCAGTTGCCCTTCTGCTTCTCACGCCTTGATAACTTTTTTTCTGATGAAACCAGAAAAAAAAAAAAAAAAAAAGTTGCGACAAAAAAGACTCTGTAAAAAAATTATGAAATGAAGAATTAAATTATTTGAACCTTGAATTTCTTTGTTGTAGAAACCCACTTAGCCCAGCATTATGCAGACACCAACTGACCATTATCTGTGATGCATCCACCATTTTTTTCTTGTTTCTTTGTATACACTGTTTCTGCTAGTCTTCACTGGCTATGGCTTTGGTTGGAACTTTTATTTTAATTTATATATTCTTGTAGTTTTGGTGGCCGGGAAACTTAATTGTTCTTTGCTTAATTGCTTGTGCTTTGGCGTTTATTTATTTATTTTATCTAGCTAGAAGTTATTATTTGTAAAAGGTGAAAGAGATGGAAGAACGTGATGTTAAATGCGTTTAATTTAGACCCACTTCTCCTTGCCTTGCCTCCAAGCATCCCATCACATCAAGTTTTACCACAATAGCAAACGACTGAAGGCACCATCCATGAACTACCCTCTTCACCTTCGGCATTCCACCTCTATGACCCATGACCTCCATGACCTCTGCCAGGTAAGGACCTCCTCATCTCCTAATATTTTGGGTTTTCTCCTAAACCCTAGATCCCCTTTTGGTTTAGGGTACGAAAATGGAGGTTGGGAAAATGGAGGGAAATTTTTTGGGGGAAAAATAGAGCCAAAACGAAGGAACTAATAGGTGAAGCATGGGTTCAGTTTAGTGGAGACACGAAATGACTAAATTAACCTTCAATTTAACGGCAGAATGGATGGAAAGTGTCAGATTTTGACGTTGGGGGGTACATTGGCGAAAAAAATTAGTTCGGTTCCTAAATTTTCTATAAAAAAAAGGATAAGGGGCAAATCGAAAATTAGGTACAAGTTTAGGGGGTATTTCACTAGTATACCCTTAGAAAAATGGTAGTTGCATTTGTAGTGATATTGATGTAAGAGATGATGTTGAATGTGATGAGGATGATGATGAGGTTAGGCTAAGATGTATCCTAAACCATTTCTCCAGCTTATTCAAATATTTGAAGTAAATCAATTTCACAGAAGCCGTTGCTCCACCATCCAAACCCAACTCTTTGGCCACAAAAGACCACAAACTGTTCTTCGAAACCCAATCATACCCACCTCTATCTCTCACCAAACAGAACAATTTGAACAAATCCATAGGTTGCCTATCATCAATCATGGCAGGGATGGGCCTAACAACACCTCTATCACCAATTTCCTTAACAAGTATAGATAGAACTTGATCAAATGTAGGAGAAAGAAGAAATCTGGAGAAGAAATTAGGGGGGGCCCAAATACCTCCTTTCCCCCTTTCTTAAAATTGAAAAACCCTTATTCCCAAAAGTTAAAGATTGAAACGAAGTGAGGCCCAAAGCACGTAATGGAACGTCTATAATATTGACGGAATGGGTAACGTGAGATCGTTTTTAAAAGTGTAGGGGGTATTTTGAGACGTTTTCAAACACAGGTGGTAATCTGAGACAAGTTTGAAAGTACAGGGGGCATGTACATAAATAAGCCTAAAACAAAAGGTAAATCGAAAGCTGTAAATTTTGGTCACTTTGCTTCCACAAGCCTTTTTATTTTAAGAATTCTAAGTGCCCGTTTGGCATTGCTTATTTGGGGTAATAAGTGATTTTTAAAAAAATTTGGGAAGCCCAACCCGTTTGGTAAATTGTGAGAAAATCACTTATTGTTAAAAATTGCTGTGAGAGAAAGCTATAAGGGAAAGCAGCTAATGAGGTGCTTTCATTTTCTGATTATGCAGGAATCAGTTTTGAAGAGGCGTTGGGTTTAATGATTATGCGGCAATCATTTTCTGATTTTGCGGAAATTAATACCAACAACACTTTTAACAAAAAATTTACCAAACGCCTAACTGCTTTCTCTTACAGCTGATTTCTCTCACAGCAAATCTGACAGCGATTATTTTCACAGCACAGCAATGCCAAACTGGCCCTAGTGTGAACTAACCACTTTTTAGTCTAATGATATTTCTCTTTTCTCAAATTCAATGTTCGATATTTTCATTCTCATGTCATTATAATACAAAGTTAAAACTACATAATGAGAACGAGAAACACAAATCTTCGTTTGTTTGAAAAATCTTCATCTATTGGATTTTAGATACCTATGATAAAAAGCAAATATCGTTCTCAAGTGTCACAACCACAAGATAAATGCTACATCAAGTATTGTGTGATAAATGCGAGACTGGACAAAATGTATTAAGATTGTAGGTGGGCTTGACCCATCCCAATTTGATTTGAGCCATGTCTGAATGTTGCCGGAGATTTTTACAATAAGATCTTGATAAGGACTTGATTTAAACGCTTATCATATATGATATCGACTTACAGTTTGAAAACATAATATGTTACATTATCTAATAACATCATATGTTTAAGGCACCTAACATGTCAAATATTGCTCCGCCTTTCGTTGTCTTTATTTCAAATTGTCTAAGCGCTGCCTCCACTCAAAAGATATTCAATTGTACCAATCAATGGAAGTACATAAAAACTCCCCACCCATTTTGTTGAAAGATTGGAGTGTAGCCAAATTAATGGAAATTTACTTTGAACACGGCATGCAATTTTTCTTGTGTTCACATTATTAATTTAGTCAGTGGTCCAACAGAATGCTTTAAACAAAATCCAATTTTACTCAAAGGCACTAAGAAAAAAACTAACCCGTTCATATTTGCTTGATGTGATAGAAATATAAGGCAGCAAATAATTAAGGGTAGTTGTTTTGTCAATTGTGTGCATAACGTGAAGCCAAAAGCCAAAAGCCAAAAGCCAAAAGCAACGTTGGCTGATTTTGTATAGTTTGCTTTTGAGGGTTCAAATTCTATATTCGGTTCAGTTTTTTAGCCCTAATCATCCTTCATAAACTTAGAAGGATACAAGATGCTTTCTTTACTTTCTTGCATCATTTCACCATAAGAAATGAAATTATAATAAAATCCCATAAATCATTAGGGAAGCAACTGATCAAATTTGTTTTCCAAATCTCAAAAGGTACAAGCAGAATTGCTGCTCAAGAATTTCAGGACAGTTCATTTCTCTTCCCTCTCATGCTAGTGATAACTTGTAGGACCAGCTTAGTTGGTCCAAAAAAAAGTTATCATTTGAGGGGAAAAAGGATCCAAATTTTGTTGTCAAATCAGAAGAATCTTGAAGCTTAGGGTAGGGTAAGGAGTTTGAGATTGCGGAAGTGGAAGCAGCAAGTCACTGAAACTAGGCATCATAAGTGCAGATGTTATCAAATCCCATATACTCTTTGTGCTCAATCTTTTCAACCATATCTGCTATTCCAACCCCACCTGTTTAAAAACACATTAAGCATCCATTAATCATTTGGAGGAAAATAAAAAGATACCCTAGTCCATTTCATGAGCAGGAAATGATCACTAACATAATGTATGAATGAAAACATACCTAATGATATTGCACTCACAAAGATTGTGAGGGCCAGAATGAAGATAATTATAGATGCTCTCCCTAAAATAATGACCACCTTTCTCACTACATGTTGCCCTACAACGGCAGAAAGGGTGGCTACAACAGCAAAGTAGAGAGCTGCAAGACAAATCAATTAACACTGACTAAAGCCAACATCAAATTATTGGAAACTTGAATTGCTACGATGGTTACCGTAAGGAATTGGAAAACGACGTAGGAGGTAGTACTCTATAACAGACATGGAGGCAGAAAATGTCATGGCAAATGTGGCTGTGGCACTTGACACCTGCATGAAAGTTCTCAATCAGAGTGAGCCAGGAATGGAAACAAACAAGTATATAGCACATAATTACCACTTATCATTGAAATATTGTCTTCGCAGCGGTAACAGGCAAAGTGAAAGATGGTCATTCAGCTGTTTTACATTGAACATGACTGTTCTTAGTCCACTCACTAAGCATCAAAGAGAGGTAAAAAATTCACCTGAGGTGGGATTCCCAGCTCCAGAAAAACAGGACCCAAAATGAACCCTCCACCAAGACCAAGCAATCCACCAACTATACCAGCTATGATGCCACAGGCACTATAAAGAACAAGCTGGTGCACTTTCCAATCTGTGTTTGATTCGCCCTTGGATGCAATCACTCTATGTCCCTTGTACAGGTTAACTGCCTCATATGTAGTTACTCCGAAAGCAACAGGGATCTAAGAATTCATTTGAGGAAAAACAAGGAAAAACATCATGGTTTTGAACCACAAATCATTAATTCAATCTCACATGAGGGTCGTATTTGAAGCGCGAAATGTGGAAAGTGAAGACTTATGTTTTCTTCTGATAAGGGACATGAAGGGTACCTGCAAGAGGTTTAATGCCCAATATGCAGCTGAACAAGTTGTGGTATAATTCTGTGACAACAAACAAGTTTCCCGTCAGTCTGACTCAATGCATAAAAGCAAAAAGGGAAGTGCCAAATCATAAGCTTATAAAGAAAATCATCCAAATAGTTGATAAATACCTTAGAAATCTGCAATCCAAGTATTATGACCCAGACAGCAACAAGAATTTGAAGTTCCCTCCAGTAAAGATTCTCAATGATAGGAACCTGAGAAAGTTACAGAAGTCAGCCTCTAAAATGCCTCATGGAAAATATAAACTGCAAAGATTAGTACCTCTGTTCTTTTAGATTCCCTGATTTCTGTTGGAGTGCCATTGCTTGGGCCACCAGGTAGAGGTTTGTATTCAACTTCTTCCCTAGGATCCACTGAATGAAAAATATATATATATTAGCCTGGTTCAAAAGATGAAAAACCATTGCTAGCAAAGAGAGATTGAGAGATCAACTCACCATTCGACTGCATTTGTCGTCTAGCAGCCTCCTGAAAATTGGAAAAGTAGAGTGTGAGACAAGATGCAGGGGATGGATTAAGTTATGCCATATTTACAAATCAAACTAACACATCTTAAGGTGACCTTTTTTATTATAGTTTCTTTCTTCCATGTCTCAATGCCCTTGAAGAATGCCCTAGTCGATGTGCCTGCATGTCATCACTATACGACTCAAACAAGTTGTCCAATTGATGAAACAAGAAAAGCATGAAAGATTTCGTTTCAAATAACTCTTACCTAAGAAAGTAATAATTAGCAACGCAGTAATCATCCAGTCGGAAAATATCACATTGAAAGCAACTCCAATACTGATCCCAAGCACAAGCATTGGTTGGAAAAGAAGCGCCAAGTCATAGTCGATGAGGGGCAGGTCAAGCGTGGGAT